CGATATGGACGCAATAGCGACATCTGATAATAAATCCGTAAAATAGTTTCGAAACCAATTCAGATTTTTTATTTAATGAGAACCTTCTAAAAATTGCAAGGCAAACAGACGTTGATAAAGATGTTAAAAGAGACATGGGGAATCTAAAATTTGCATTCCACGACATGTCTCCTCAACTAAGCAGAAATCCTTAGCGGATTTACAGGTACAACACCGTGATGTACCTTGGGATACTTAGCAAGGGTGAAGAAAATATTTTTTTACTCCCTTGTTAATTGACATATTTTATATTTTAAAACATTAATAAATTCCCTAAAACATGGACTTTAAGTCAGTATTAATAAAACTATTATAAAGTTTGCCCAAGTAATAATAAAAATCTTTGTTTCAAAACCATCCCAAGGTACAACGCTTTCCCCTACTTATAAATAGGTGTTCAACATTTTTGTTAAAAAAGGAGAACTGTGTTGCTTTTAAAATTTTAAGGTCTTGTTTGTTACACAATTTTAAATTAAAAAATAATAACCAGATCTGATCATCTTGCGATAAGCCTTGATAGTTTCCCATTGATTTTAAAATGATTTTATTGTTTGACCCATTGATCTAAAACATTAAAACATTTTGACAGACCGCCTACCGAGATACTTATACAACTATCAACATGTTGTAAAGTATGCTAACTATATACATATTTAAAAATAAACATAATCAATGGATCTTACCCAATAACGTTTATTGCTCAAAAAGGAAGTTTATGATATGCTAATGCTTCTGTAAGCTTTTCAGTTGATTGTTTTGACAATAAATTAGTTGTTTTTAATAGATGGGTAGGTGTTTGTTAATAGCGATTGGGCTGTATTTACAGCAGATTTAACCAATTAATTGGAGATTTTGTCTTTCCATGAATAAATATAATTTTTAACAATATAGGACACTTTTAACAATTTATGTAATAATAATAATGTTTATTTAGGAAGCTTACATAGATTACAAGAAACAAAAACATACTAAATAATAAATAAATATAAATACCCACTGAAGTAGAGCTACTTCATCTAATTTACTTACCGTTGCACGCCATCTGCGTCACAGGCGTCACAGTCCGTGAGGTCACATGATACCAACACGAAATATTTAAGCGGTAGGTGTGTTCTTTTTTAGAATCACTTTGCCGAGTACACTGGCATTACAGCCACTAGACATATTTTATTATAGACGCGTAGAAGTAATACGCGTAAAGTTCAAAATGCTAAAAAAGACTGTTAAAAGAAAAACCGACATCAATTTACTTAAACAAGAAAATATACAAAGTATGGTAAAGACTAAACTCAACGAGGAATGTGAAAGACTCCAAAGAGAGTTATCACCAACTACAGAAGGCTTATGGACTGAAGTCAAGAATGCTTTTACTAGCGCCGAGAAATATATAAAAGACACTAATAACAAAAGAAAATCTAAACCCTGGATGACACAAAAAATTCTGGGAATGATGGATACTCCAAGAGCCTACAAAAATAAAGATAATGAAAAATATAGGGAGATACATCGTCAAATCAAGAAAGAAATAGCTACCGCAAAAGAAAATTGGATGATAGAAAACTGCCAAGAGATCGAAGAATTAATAAAGAAACACGACAGTCAAACGCTTCACAAAAAAATAAAAGATCTAGCTGGAATGACAAAACAAAGACCCCTTGTAGATTAACAAACGACGAGAATGAAACGATATGGGAATTAAGCGATCTAAACAACGTATGGGGACATTACATAGAAGAACTATTCTCGGACACACCACTAAACAACATAATATATAAAAACCATGAAACCAGTCCTCCTATATTTAAAACAAGAAGTAGAGAGAGCAATCAAAAACGCAAAAAATGGGAAAGCCCCTGGCCCCGATGAAATACATACGGAAGTCATAAAGCTACTGGAAGAGAAACATTTAAATATAATCGTCAAATTATTTAATCAAATATATACAAGCGGTGAAATTCCACAAGACTGGTTAAAATCAGTCTTTATTCCCCTTCCAAAAACTAAGGGAGCAAAGAAGTGTGGTGATTTTAGACTTATTAGTTTAATGTCGCATATGTTAAAGTTATTCTTGAAAGTTATTCACCAACGCATTTATAAGAAATGTGAACAGGATATCAGTGATGAACAATTTGGCTTCCGAAATGGATTTGGGACACGGGAAGCATTAACCAGTTTTATTATACTGCTGCAAAAATGTCGAGACCAAAAAAAGGATCTCTTTTTATGTTTTATTGACTATCAAAAGGCCTTCGACAAAGTAAAACATGATAAGCTGATGGATTGCCTTCACAAAAAGGGACTAGACGAGAACGATTTTAAAATTATCCAAACGCTGTATTTTAACCAAACTGCAGCAGTTAGAACAGAAGCCGGTGACACAGAAATATTCAATATCAAGCGAGGTGTACGACAGGGGTGTGTATTGTCACCACTACTTTTCAATATATATTCGGAAGAAATCTTTGCACGAGCACTAGAGCAATCAAGAGAAGGTGTTAAAATTAACGGCAGAGTTCTAAATATGGTACGATACGCCGACGACACGGTCCTAATTGCAGAGAGCGCACAGGGTCTCCAGACACTCTTAGATCGCGTCAGATCGATCGGAAAACAATACGGCCTCAGCATTAACGTCAAGAAAACAAAAACAATGATTGTCTCCAAAACATCTGTCCATCCACCCATGGCTTTAAACGTGAATGGTAACATTATCGAAAATGTCGAGAAATTTCGATATCTAGGGTGCTGGATAACGAAAGATATAGATCCAGACATAGAAATAAAATCGCGAATTGAACAAGCAAGAAATGTCTTTTTAAAAATGAAACAAATGTTTACGTCCCAAACACTCAATCTCAAAATCCGATACCGAATGCTGAAATGTTACGTTTACAGCACCTTACTATATGGAATGGAGGCCTGGACCTTCAAAATCAACTCACTAAGGCGTTTGGAAAGTTTTGAAATGTGGTTATTTCGAAGGATGCTGAAAGTCCCCTGGACAGCGCATATGAGCAACGAGCAGGACCTACACAAGATGGGTACCGACAGAGAACTCTTAAAAATAATGAAAACACGGAAAACCTCATATTTGGGACACATATACAGAAATGAGAAATACCAGCTACTGCAGCTTCTTATAGAGGGGAAGGTAGAAGGAAAACGTGGTCCTGGTAGACGGCAGGCGTCCTGGTTGAAGAACATTCGTGAGTGGACTGGTTTGGATTCTCAATCTTTAATAAGAAAAGCCAGGAACAGAAATGATTTTGCTGAGGTTATCGCCAACCTTCATTGAAGACGGCACCCAAAGAAGAAGAAGTAATATTTAAAGATTTCTATTAATGTTAACTTAAATAAATACACAATATGTGTAATTTAACCCTTTATAGGGCAGAATTATTTTTTGGTAATATAAACAAATTCTTTGCAGATTATAGATAAGGAATGATCCGTTATTGAACTTTCATTCGTATTTTCATTTTATTTTCACTCCTTGTTGTTTTTTTAGGTGGTTGAAATTTCGACCACAGCCTGATTAGGTATGTTGACTTTGGTAAATGTAGTTGTGGTTCCATAATCGACCACAGAAAAAAACACATTAATTAAATATTTTTATTATGAAATAATGGAAAACATTGAATACATAATGCAACCTGGCAATCTGAGCATTTAATACTTGAACGTTTTGGCTTTGCTCTCGTTGATCTCCGTATCCCTACGGAGGCTGGCAATCATAATGGCTATTTTTATTTTTGAACTTGCTGCTCTAAACAAATCAATCAATCTGCATTGATACCAATCACGTAGATTCTTTAACCATGAGTTCTGCCTTCGGCCAACAGATCTTCTTTCTTGAATCTTTCGCTGTATTATGAGTCTCAAAATTTCATATTTTGGACTCCACATCACGTGGCCCAGTACGTATTCCAGTTTTCTGGTTTGTATAGTGGTGATTAGTTCTGTTTCTTTACCAATCCTCTCCAGTACTTCTTTATTTGTAATTCTATCAGTCCATGATATTTTTAATACTCTGTGGTATAACCAGAGTTCGAAAGCCTCGATTCTTTTTAAATTGCATTTTTTTAATGTCCAAGTCTGAGCTCCATATAATAATATTGAAAATATATAACAGGGAATGGTACGTAGTCTGATCTACAAATTTAGATTTTTGCACGTTAGGAGTGGCTTCATTCGTATAAATGCTGATCTGGCAATCTCTATTCACCTGTTTATTTCTACAGTATGATCATTGGTTCCATTGATGAAAGTTCTCAAGTACTGATATTTTTCTACTTGTTCTATCACGTTGCCATTGATTGTCAATAAGTGATGTATATTTTGTGGTCTTTTTGTAATTAGCATGTACTTCGTTTTTTTAGCGTTTATAGTAATTCCCATTTCAGCACTATTCATACTCAAGCTTTCGATGTTGTAGATACTCTATACTCGTTGCTATGACCACAGTGTAGTGTGCATATCATAAGTTGGTAATTAATTTTCCGTTAACGGTGACTCCCGCTTCGATATTATTGAGCGTGTTTTGAAAATTTTTTTCTGAATATAAGTTAAACAAAAGTGGCGATAAAACACATCCCTGTCTAACTCCTCTACGGATCTTCATTTCTTTTGAGTGTTGCCCATTATTAAAGCAACCTTATTGATTTTTTGGGTTTTAAAAATACTAAATACCAACACAAACTTCTTTTATTTAATTTTAGATTCACTCCATCCTTGGTAGGCATATAAGATTAGTTGAACTATTCAAGGAACTAACAATGTATTTATTATTCTTTATAATATGCTTATAACTCAAAATGTGCTTATATTAACGTCATACTCTAGGAGTGCCTCCTAAATGATATGTACAATGACGTGAAACAGATTTACTATGTCGAGTTCTATCGATGTTATTACATCCTATCAGATTTTCTATATTAACAATAATATTTTCTCCTTTTCAGGTCACAATGGCAGGTGATTTTATTTTAGCGGTAGCATCCATGTTGATCGCTAGGTTAAGAAACAATGATGTCACGTCAGTACTTAGTCAAGTAAGTTAAATAATAACATTTTTCTGCTAATATATCTAAATTTTCTGTTACCTGAATTAAATTGAACTGTAGGTAATTGTCCGCAAGAGCATAGTAATATTTTTATCTCCAACTTGTGTATTTTCGATACAAAGATTTTCGATTAGATAAAAAGAAGCAGTCTGTGGCTGCTGATGTATTCCGAGGAAATAATTAACAAATGTATGGAAAATGCAAATGAGGGCATAAAAATAAACGGCGAGTTAACGAACAATATAAGATATGCCGACGACACGGTGATGCTTGCCAGTACCATAGACGAATTACAACAAGTAATGGAAAGACTTTATTCAGTTAGTGAGGAATACGGCCTGAGCCTCAACTTCAAGAAGACAAAGTGGATGCTGATAAGCAAGAAGCAACAACCTGCTCGACAATTACGGATAAGTAACATACTAATTGACCATGTAGAATCTTATGTGTACCTTGGCACCAACGTAAATACAAAATGGGAACAGATCATAGAAATTAAGGCGAGAATAGAACGAGTTAGAGCAGCATTTAGCAATATGAAAAAGCTCCTCATAAGCAAGGATTTGTCTCTTCCCCTAAAACTACGTCTAGTTAAATGCTACATTTTTCCGATCTTGCTGTCTGGCGTGGAGGCCTGGACGCTGTCGGAGACGCTAACGAGAAAACTAGAAGCATTCGAAATGTGGGTGTACCGACGCATTCTTCGTATATCCTGGACCGAACATGTCACCAACATAGAGGTACTCCAAAGAATCGGAAAGGAGAAAGAGATCGTGAATACAATTAAACAAAGAAAACTTGAATATCTAGGCCACATATTGAGACACGATAAGTACCGTCTGCTACAATTGATTGTCCAGGGAAAAATAGACAGTAAGCGAGGGCCAGGCAGGAGAGGACACTCGTGGCTCCAAAATCTGCGGAAGTGGTTCGGGCTCACATCGGTCGAACTATTCAGAAGCGCCGCAAACAAGATCAAAATTGCCATGTTAATAGCCAACGTTCGCAACGGACAGGGCACTTGAAGAAGAAGAAGAAGAAGAAGTCTGTGGCTAGCAGTGCTAGAAATGGGAATACTAAGAAAATTCTTGGAGTTAACTCATATGTGCTTGACAGACCCCTATGTATAGGTAAATATAGGAAAGAGAACATCGATGATATTTCGTATAACATCAGGACTTAGACAAGGAAATGCCTTATCACCGATTCTATTCAATTTGTCCATATAATATGCAATAAATAAAATATCTAAGGAATACCAAACAAAAAATCTTTTTCCACCTCTATTCTAAAAGGAATATTAATACTGTCAGAAGAGCTTTTTTTCTTTAAGAGATAATTTTATAGTAGTAGTATTATTTACTATAGCTAAACGATCATAAAACTTTCTTTGTATGTTTTAGGTTGTTACAGATCTAGTCCAAGGAGAATTTATGCAGTTAGGATCGAAAGAAACAGAAAACGAACGATTTGCTCACTATCTACAAAAAACGTATAGAAAAACTGCATCGTTAATCGCCAACTCACTGAAAGCAGTTAGTATTTTTCAAATTATTTTATTTGTTTGACTAATTTATTAAATTCTTCTGCAATTTATTGTTGCACATTATAAGTTTAAATGTTTTATGCCCTTTTTAAAAAGAACTTTAACCTCAAAACAATCAGAAGGTAAACTTAAAAAATGTCGCTCACTTGACCGTTGGCAATATTGTCGGTGTAAAGGTCAGGGTTGTATTAATCTAAATTGTTTAACCGTTAGACAGGTCTGTACGGTAGTGATTTATTAAGAACAAATACAGTTCTATGTCCTAAACAAAGTAGGCGAATATGGGTATACATATGAAATATGTATAACTATAAGTATACGTAGTCAGATTTTTTACATAGTAGGTACATATACGTTTCTTTTTCATATTTTCTGCCAAACTAAGTTTTAACAAGATTGGAAATGAAAAGCATTGTTATAAACGTGGATTAATTTTGATTTGAAAAAAAATTGGGGAACAAACACAAAATAATATTGTCAGTTATAGTAATTAATTCTTCTTCTTCGTATGCCTTAATTTTTTAAGGATATTGGAGATCATCATGGCTAATTTTACTCTGTCTGTAGCAGTTCTGAAGAGTAATATTGTTGATTTTCCATTCCTCTGCCTTAAAATTTTCAACCAGGAATCACATTAACTCATATTTTTCATTTCTTAGTGTCCATGATATTTTCCACATTCTTCGATACCACTACATGTCAGGCTGTTAAGTCTTCTTCAGTTGCGTACGTAATTGTCCAGGCTTCAACTTTGTATAAAAGGGCAGATAGGACGTAGCACCTCAAGACTCTAGTCTTAATTTCTATTCCCAGTTTTTCATCGCATAATACTGCTTTTATATCATTGAAAGCGGTTCTGGCTTTCAATTGGTTATGTGTTGTAAAACAACCTATCATAACAACCAATCATAATATTGTAATCTTAGTTATTTTATCAATTTGTGCCCTCAGCACTCGTGTGCGACCGGCTTCCGCATATTATCTCTCCACCCCGCCCCCGCGTTATAGATCACTGCGAATTTGCCTCCCGGCAAGTAAAGACTGGGGTATTGGCGCTGCCGTGCAAAGTGCGTGAGTTGTAGATGCGCCTACGTGTAGAACCGCTGTTTTGTGTTAAATCGTATGTAGACATTTTCATCTTTCTTTGCGTGTGCGTGTAAAAACACTTGCAATAAGTTGTTTCATCTAACTTTCCTTGTCTAAGCTCGATTCGTTTACCTCCTTCAGTGGCAGCTATCTGTATTCGTAAAGAGATCGAACTTATCACCAACACCGTATCGGCCAAACGCATCGGTGTTATTGCTACAATACTGGGAGACGTGAGTGGTCTCTTCATTCCCTTCTCATCGCACTTTACCATGACAAACGTGACTCGCACAATTGAATTACGCATCTGTGTATCAGAGAGAGACCAATATTAAAAATTCCGTAGTAGCTTATTTCTGGCACACGCCAAGAACGATGAAACCGACTTTACCAGTTTTTTACATAGTAGAAGTAGTAATAAATTTTTCAATAAATTATTTTATAAAGATGTTTATGGTAAACACCAGATATTAATCAATTTACATCTTTAGGTTGCGATTTTAGCAGAAGCAGATGAAAACTTAACTGATATTTCATATCAGTATGGAAGAAATTTGGGAATAGCTTTTCAATTAGTAGATGACCTGTTGGATTTCGTGTCTTCTTCCGAAGCTATGGGCAAACCGACAGCAGCAGATTTAAAATTGGGTTTGGCCACAGCTCCTGTTTTGTTTGCATGTGAGAAGGTATGTTACCTTAACTAAATAATTAAAATTATAATTAAGAATTGTATATTATATTTATCATCTTCGACTTGTTTGAATTTATATAAAAAAACCAATATTTTTTTTATATTGTAATGGTGCTATAATAGGCATGTTATTTCAGTGATATGTAACTAAGAAAGAATAGAAGAGAGACCTTTAAGATTTAATTTTAATACCGGGCTGCTGCCATCCGTTTATAGGTATTTTGACCTTATTAGGTTTCTTCAGAGCGACATAGACAGAATCTCTGGATTGAAAATAAATCTGTCCCGTCTTAAAAGAAAAATTATAAAAAATAATTATATGGGACATTACAACGCCATCTAATAACAAAAATAGTAGAAATCCTCCAAGATTTTTTTCTAGGCAAAACTAAAATTTAGGGAGAGTTTTATCTTTAATCCAGAGATTCTGTATATGTCGCTCTGAAGAGACCTAATAAGGTCGAAATTCGTATAAGCTGATGGCAGTAGCCCTACATTGAAATTAAAGGCTATAGCGGGATAAGATAGTCAAAATTGCACCATGCTCGATTTAGTTTTGGGCCTGGCCATTCGAAAGGACATAATTAAAAACTCACTAAGTTAAATTTTCAAGTCCTTAGGTGCCTCTGGGGGTTCGCTATGGGAAAAAACGTATTTAAAGAAAAAAAATTTTTTAGACGCTGTATTGCCGCAAAAAATCTGAAAAAATTTATGACAGCTTAGTTTAATAATACAATACTACCTGATTTTTTTCAGATTTTTAGCTTGAAAATTGAGCCAAGGAAAAATATTTGAAATTTTCAGTAATATTTTAGGTTATGTCGGAAATTTTTGGCAAACTTTAAAACAATGTTTTTTTATGGGTTTTTTTCCCGTTCTTTTGAATGGCATAGGTATTATTATCATTTTCAACGTGGAAAATGCCTAAAAATCAAAAAAACTGCTTTTTTTGCCATTTTTCTGAAGCTCCCCCACCCCTTAACAATAAATTGTATGGGCCTAGGAACAAAACAAAAAAAAAAAAAAAAGTATTACATAGAAAACGAAAAATTTATTTATACTGCCATAAGATACAATAATATTAGTTTTTATAAAATAAAAAAAAAATATTAATAAAATAAACATAAATTAGGGTTTTTAGTGAGATTGATGACTCATAACCTTAACAACATACATCTAAATTAACCATAATTCATATTTTTATATGTATTCTTACCTTTACAATCGAAACAAGCTATTAAAACTATTATTTTTTTCCTACAGCATGCTAAAAAAACGAAAACCCCCGTTTTTTCGGCGTTGTTTTTAAGCTTTCGCTATATAACCTCTAAAAGTCAGTGTCTAAATGAATGGTAATTTACATTTTCACATGTATCTTTCCCTTTACAATCAAAATCAGTTATTCAAAGCATTAGTTTTATACCACAACTTTCTGAAAAACCGAAAAACCCCGTTTTCTCCATGTTTTTACTACATAACCTCAAAAGACTCTGAAAAATGAATCATGAATTAGAACGCACTTGTACACTCAAAAGTTGTGGAATTAAAAGCTAGCGAATATATCTACATATATATGTGATCTTATATCACAATGTACATGCATTTATAAACAAACGCATATCTATATAGTTCCATGACTTTTGAGATCCTTGTTATATAAATTCATAACATCGTACCATGCTCGTCCATGTCTACTCTTCCGCTTAGATACAAGAGCCTTATACCCATGCTTATATTATTATTATTTTATTTTATATTTTATATGTACTTAACTGTTTTGGCCTTCATGTCTTAGCCCGACATCCCGCATATCCAGGGAGTCTGATTGTAACAGAAAACATAGCGTTGATAGTTGCGCCACGCGGTAGTTGATATTAGGCGGCGCAACTACCAACGCCATGTATATATGATATAATCAGGCTCATTATATATTGCTCTTAGTGCGTTTGCGTGTGTAGGGCCATATCCTCTGTATCGCTCTTAGTCAGTTTGCGTGTTACGGCCTTTATCTTTTCGGCGGGGCTTTTCCTGAAATGTTGAATAAATCTCTGTTTTGGTGTTTATTTTGAATTGATTTTGAATTTGACAGCAGAATTGTGTCGTGTCTAAAATAACAGACAAGAATAACCAGTATTATTGTTTTATATTGTGAAGCAACAAATTCTTTTTTTACTATAACGTCGACCCTATGCATTGTGGTTATTTATTGGTCGGAAGTTAATAGTAAAGTAAACATCATAATGGAGGTTCACGAAAGCCAATGCTGTATTTTTATTTACACTGCGTTTCGACGTTCTGCTGAATAGCTCTTGTTACATCTTTCTCAATTTTTGACTGAATTAACTGTGTAACAAAGTAAGATTATAAGTATCTCTTTAATACTAATTCTGGGTGTTTGGATTACCGCTTTGAAAAAAATATATATAAAGTATTATACTAGAGAACATTTTATAGTTTAAATTCACTTATTTCATTGCTAATTTTGTATTATTACTACTCTTGTTACTGAAATAGATAAATATTTGATAATAAACTTTGTTACTTTGAACAAAGTTTTAAACGTTTGGAACAAAAGTTTTAAAAATGTAAACCAAATAATAATATCATATATACATGGCGTTGATAGTTGCGCCGCCTAATATCAACTACCGTCCGGCGCAACTATCAACGCCATGTTTTCTGTTATAATCAGGCTCCCTGGATATGCGGGATGTCGGGCTAAGACATGAAGGCCAAAACAGTTAAGTACATATAAAATATAAAATAAAATAATAATAATATAAGCATGGGTATAAGGCTCTTGTATCTAAGCGGAAGAATAAGGCATGGACGAGCATGGTACGAGCTTATGAATGTATATAACAAGGATCTCAAAAGTCATGGAACTATATAGATATGCGTTTGTGTATAAATGAATGTACATTGTGATATAATATCACGTATATATGTAGATATATTAGCTAGGTTATAATTCCACAACTTTTGAGGGTACAAGTGCGTTCTAATTCACGATTCATTTTTCAGAGTCTTTTGAGGTTATGTAGTAAAAACATGGAGAAATTGGGGTTTTTCGGTTTTTCAGATGTTGTGAGATAAAACTAATGCTTTGAATAGCTGATTTTGATTGTAAAGGGAAAAATACATGTAAAAATGTAAATTACCATTCATTTAGACACTGAATTTAGAGATTATATAGCGAAAGCTTAAAAACAACGCCAAAAAACGGAGTTTTTTCGTTTTTTTAGCATTCTGCAGGAAAAAAATAATAGTTTTAATAGCTTATTTCGATTGTAAAGGTAAAAATACTTATAAAAATATGAATTAACATTAATTTAGGTGTATGTTGTTAAGGTTATGAGTCATCCATCCAAATAAACATAAAATCAGGTAGTATTGTGTTATTAAACTACGCTTTCATGAATTTTTTCAGATTTTTTGTAGCAATACAGCGTCTAAAATTTTTTTTTAATACGTTTTTTCTCATAGCGAACCCCCAGAGGCACCTAGGGACTTGAAAATTTAACTGAGTGAGTTTTTAATCATGTCCTTTCGAATGGCCAAGCCCAAAACTGAATCGAGCATGGTCCAATTTTGACCATCTTATTCCGCTATAACCTTTCATAGATTTTTCTGGATCTTTATTATCTCTTTGTCTATTTGTATAAATAACTTTTACTAAATTATCGATGTCGTTTTTCGTTCCAATTAAAAGTTCAGAACTGATCAAATAACGTTTTTCGATCATTTTCAGACATAATATTGCCCTGGATAACACTATTCCTTTTTTCTTTACAATTACATCGAGGCTTCATAATTTTTTTCTAAGTATTCTTTAAGTGTTTACCTATTCTTTTTATTCCTTTCAGTAACCCATTGATCTTTCTTTATTGACACCGTTTCTTTCTTTTGATAATAGGTTCATCACATTCAGAATCAAATTCACTGTAATCAACTAGATTTTTCATTTATTCAGGATAGGCAGTTCGGATTTTAGGTATAGGTTCAGTAGCCGTTAGCTATTCTTCTTGTATATTAATGATATATATCAATAATAAGGTATCATTTTGGTTAATGCTACAAGTAATTGATTCAATAGGATTAACCGTATTTATCGGTATCAAATAATGGTTTACTTATAAATTTCAATGTTTTAGTATCCTGAACTCAACCCAATGATAATGAGAAGGTTTCAAGAACCAGGAGATGTAGAAAAAGCATTTGAATTAGTGCACAAATCCAGAGGACTTGAACAGACACAATTTTTAGCACGACAACATTGCCAAGAAGCAGTTCGACTCGCTAGTCTCATAGAACAGAGTTCATATCAAAAGGGTTTGATAGTAACAGCGGACTATGTCCTAAACCGGATGAAATAGTGCACAAAATAGTAGATTAGATAGTTACTTTTAGTTATGAAATTATTTTATGTATGATATATAAGCGGAAGGTATTTCTGAAATATTTGAAACTAAACTGAAAGTCACATAAGGCTACCGTACTGAAATATAAAAAATACACTTAGAAATCGAATAATTCTACACATTTTACATTCATTGCAATACACAATATATTAATGCCTTATTAAAAATAACTATTATTCATCGCCTGAGTCCAATCTGCAAAGACTAACGTGATGAGCAACTTTGCCCTTTGATATCTAGATGGCAATTATAGTTTTCTATGATAAGACACTAAAATTTCTTGAAACTCAGATTTCTGCAATATTTTCCTGACTACCCTACCACTTTTTTCAATTATCAACATGAGAACCATTCCTTGTTTTGATGTTGAAGCTAATGACCTAATGTTCTGGGTCTGCTCGCTTTTCCAATTAACCAATTTTTGATTATCGATCACATTCATCCTGTACACTATTATTGCGTATCTCCAATAGAACGGCGACCACTCCTGAGGTGACTCCTCAACCTCAACATGTTGGTAAATTAACACGATCGTTTAAAAAATGTTGGTATTAGTTGCGAGCTACCATTAACTGTAGTGTTATTCCACACTACATGCGCATGCCTATTGATCTTAACCTACAGAGATATGGATTTCTGTGGCTACGAAAATACCTTTTTGCTTCGAAGATTAAGTTAGGTAGCTTTAGCAAAATATTAACTAAGAATTGTTTTGTAACTTTCTAGTCGTAGTACGACCAGGATCGATAAGCAACATGGAACTTATGGAAGGAACGAGGAGAGGAATCCTCTGAACCTATTTAAGGATATTTAAACGAAACACTAATCGTTCTAGGAATCCAGATGGTGTACTGCCCGACTGGTGAGCCCTGGGTCGTTAACTGTTTATTTTTCTTCGACGCCTATCGAAGAAAGGTAGAAATCTCTCTTATAATTTTGCATCTGTTTCGATCTTGTGCCTCTTGCATCCAATTTATATGGCAACGTGTTAGATCGTCAGTACAACGTGTTGGTGGACGACCTTTGGTCGTCTCTGATGGAGATCTCTTGGAGATCTCCATCCTCCTTGTCCATCTGTTATCTGTAATTCGAGCCAGGTGACCTGCCCAGTTCCACTTCACTCCTGATCTTCGTCGTAGCTGGCGGTTTGGGATCTTGTCTCACAGTGACATGCCCAACACAGCACGCTCTATTACATTTTAAGCAACACGTATTTTTTGACTGTTTTCCTTGTCATGGTCAACGTGTCCGCTTCGTTAGTCAACACTGGCAAAATACACACAAATTAGCCACAAAAAAGTATCTAAAGACCGAATGATTTAAACTGACGTTGGTCTGGTGGCTCAAGCATAAAATTAAGTGCGAATAATATAGTATGGAGCCAAGATACCAAGCAGAGCTTGGTGTAACAATCAATCGGTAAATTGAAACGTTACAGGTTCCTAATTAATGTAGAAATTATGATCAATTATTTGGTGTATACAACATACAATTATAACAAATGTGTTGAAATGTTTCAGTATGGTTAATGTTTCGCTAGTTACTTTATAAGTATCTTTGAACATTCCAAATTTGCAAAGTTGCTAAGATTTTAATAGCAATTGTCCTGTACATTAATAAATATACTGCAACAACATTTAGATATAGCTGTACCTATATAGATAAATATACAGACAACACTACCGTAAGTGTCTTAAAATATTTCAGAGATACCGTGTACAATTGATACATCGATCTAACAAAATATTTTTGCTCTATATCCATATTTATTGATACATATATTGACCGTTTAAAAATACTGATAGGGATACCTACAGTGTTTTTTAATCGTCATTATTACCTTTTACTTATATATAAAAATCTGTAGTTAGTTCACTATTTAGAAGAATCTTGAATGTTTACCTTAAATGTAGTCAATATGTAGACCTTCTGCACATATGTTTTTTATTTTATTGCAGGAGCTGGTTTTTGAAATGTTATTTTGTTTTAAATGTTGATGGAAATATTATTTTGCTATAACTTTGCTAATTTTTTTATACCAGCTCCTCTGGTAGACTACTTTGTATATCTTTACATCATTTCCATCTTATCCCTTCAGATAAGTTCGTTTTTACACTTGATCCATTTTACATAATTTTCTACCTTAAGCAGACTTTTCATTTTATTTAGGATTTCCTGTACTTAAATACACTCACCGGCAACATTAACGGAACACCTTAACAATGGGTCATGTTAGATGTCTCGAATTTCCTAAACCTATTGTCCGATTTTAGTAATTTTTTTAGTATGTTATAGTTATATTATTAAAGAATATCGATGTAATAATATTGTTGCTAGACAGGTCAATGTCATTTTATACCGGGTGTAACAATCATACTGTGTTTTTTCCTTACAGTTCGGAACACCCTGTGGAATATTCTAGCATATATTTAGAATATAAAATATTGAAATTAAAACTCAATTATAGCCTCAGGCTTTCTTAACATTTTCTTTTTTTATTCATTTGCTTTTGTTGGATAATAAAAAAGTTAGGTACTTTAACAACTAGCCATGTTTTTCATCAATAAATGCTCATTTTCTGCTTAGTTTCACCGGCATATTTAAAGGAACAACCATAAAATCTAAGTATTTTCTCTCTGGTCTATGTATTGTTAATATTGTTTAGATAATATCATAATACGAATGTTGGTGAAGTATTTTGAATTTATATTACAATGGTAGTACAATATGAAACCTGTTTAAAGAAGAAATAAAACACAAAGATGTCAGATTCAAACAAAATAGGGATTTTAAACACATTAACTTTATTGTACAGTTTGAACTTAAATTGGTTTTTTATGCACTTTTTTGGCTATATTTGGCTAATAGCGTGTGTTTCCCTACGAGCCTTTACAACTGCAGTTATTCGTCTTCTCATACTTCTGATAACGCTATCGATCAGTTGTTAAAGCAGCCTCTCCCATTCCTCAATCAAAGTAATTCTGACTTCCTCTCTGTTTTGAATAGCAGGAACCCGTGCCCTAAGTTTTCTGCCTAGCATGTCCCACACAGGCTCTATCGGGTTCAGGTCTGGGGAACAAGCTGGCCAATTCATCGTTGCTATACCCACTTGTAATAAGAAATCTCTTACACAGCCTGCGACGTGTGGGCGCGCATTATACTGCATTAAAATAAAATTTTCGCCAATATATGGTGCAAAAGGTAACACATGGTCTTGGAGAATATCTCTGATATACCTATCTGCTGTTAATGCTCCATCATCAATCACCACTAATTCTGTTCTTGCTCCCAAACATATACCACCAAACACCATAATTAAACCTCCAAAAAAGGTACGGTCGTAGTAAAATTGAAAGGGTCATTTCGTTCACCTTGGCGTCGATACAATCTTTCTCTACCGTCGATGTGATTTATACATAAACGGCTCTCGTCCGTAAAGAGAATTTGATTCCAGTGGTTATCATTCCAATTTTGATGTACTCGACCAAATTGTAGTCGTGCTAAACGATGGTGTCTCTGGATTCTGGGAGCTTTTATTGGCACATATGACTTGAGAACGGCTTCTTTAAGTCTCCTTCTTACTGTGAGCTCACTTATGGTAGTTCCACGAACATTTTACAACAGGTTTTTGATTTGAACTGCCGTTTGACGTGTACTACGAAATGTTGGTCAACCGTGGTTAAACGTTTTCTATCTTGTCCCCTTCTTCTTACATACTCCCCGGTTTGTTTCCAACGACTTACACAACGATGGATGATGGATGGCGATTTACCAAATCCATTTTCCCTGTACGTTCATCCATTTTCGACCATTGTGACGACCCTAGCAATATCAGTCAGTATTAAATAACCCATTTTTACTTACTCTTTGCAATAAGAACACCACTGATTAGAACAAATCAAAAGAAAAATCACATCCAACAAACTCAAACAAATTAACTTATCAATTAAATATAAGTTTGTACTTGTTATCAACAGACAGAACGACTGTAAAATGTAAAACACAATACAAATAAAGAAATTAATTTGACATTTTGACATTTAAGACTTTCTTGTGACAAGAAGCATTCAAAGCTACGTATATATAGTTTATAAATTACTAATATAAAGAAATATTGCATTAATAACTTGTTCCGTTAAATTTGCCGGTGTATGTATTAAATTGTTAACTTCTCATAGCCTACTTTAGACTTGTTTATTAAACTAAGCAGAAAATAAGGATTTATTGATGAAAAACATGGCTAGTTGTTAACGTACCTAACTTTTTTATTATCAGACACAATCAAATGAATCAAAAAAGAAAATGTTAAGGTAGCCTGAGGCTATAATTGAGTTTTAATTTCAATATTTTATATGTGCTAGAATATTCCACAGTGTGTTCCGAACTTTAAGGAAAAACACAGTATGATTGTTACACCCTGTATAAAATGACATTGACCTGTCTAGCAACAATCTTATTAAATCGATATTCTTAAATAATATAACTATAATATACTAAAAAAATCACTAAAATCGGACAACAGGTTTAGGAAATTCGAGACATCTAACATGTCCCAGTTTTAGGTTGTTCCGTTAATTTTGCCGGTGAGTGTATATCTTTTAACATCCCACAAGCTGCTAGGTAGCGCTTATTATTCTTCGTGACTCTTATTTTTATTTATTTGCTCAGCTATAATTATTTGCTTATTTTGTTTCGCACTTGTGGGGATTTGGCTTAATATCAAAGTGTTTTCTAAATGGTTTTTGCATGCAGCAAACTCAATTTTGGTAGGATCGCGAGATGCGCGAAACGACGTATTTTCGCATTGAGTTACAAAACTTGTTTAATCACTGATCCAATTAGAAGCTCGGCATGCTCAGTAACACTGCTCAGTGTTTAAATATTAGCTGCTATTCAGGCAGACTTTTTTTTCTACCACGATCTACTTTGTCAATGTCGTCAAAATTCCGCCTATT